GAGATTTTGCCATGGAATAGCTCAATTGTAGAAATGGGAATAATTAGATTTTGTGAGAGTTTTTAATGTACTTTCTATGCCAAGGATTTGAAGAATGCTAGTGTGGGGGAGTAATCATACTTGTTTTATTTCATTCCAAAAGGTTGGACTGACAATAATGGGTAAAAGTGCTAAGAAGAAAATCTTAGCTTGATTTAAAAAAAAAGAAGTGTTATTAAGAGTAAAATGTATCTAAAGGAAAATAGAATGCCTTAAAGAGTGCGTATGTATATGTGTGGATAGGTATTTCCATGTATATCTCCATATACGTATGGCTATATATGTGAGTACACATACATATATCTTTATCTGGGTTTATATTGATGTATTGCATATGTGAGTAATCTATTAACACATAAATATATACACTTATACACAGACACAGATATAAGGATATATTTGTTTGGGGATTCATAATACATATTATGTATGTACGTACGTATTGCACATCTCCTACACACATATCTATCTATCTATCTATCTATCTATCTATATCTACATATATATAGAGATATAGATGTAGATAGATAGATAGATATGTAGATATATAGATATATATACATTCACCACACTCAAAGGCACACATATGCACTCATCTTTATTTACACTATCTTCTAACTGAAATTTAGCATTTGCTTCTGTTAGGATTATTTTTTTTTTCTGTCCATAAGCTTTGACAGTTTGCACAAGTGATCTATGACAAAAAAGAGAAAAAAGGGATTAAGAACCCCTCATATAGAAGATCTTTTTGATTCTAATCAACTGTTGGCCATACTAAATGGTTGGTCTCAGAGGTGTCTTCCAGTTGTCTGAATTCATGAAAGGCATGTGTTGTGGATATCAATAAAATTAATAGTTAAAGGAAAATTCATCAAATAAATAGTTTTTAATAGAATAAAATGTTTTATGATCTTATTAAAAACCTCAATAATTGGCAGGGCAGAAATGACAGAGTTAGATATTGCACATACTGAATTTGTAGTTAGGGGACTGTAACTCAAAATCTAGCTCTTTCACTTATCTCTTGTGAGAAGTTCAGCATGTCTCTACACTGACTCATTTTGCTCATGTCAAAAATGAAGATTTTAGACTAGATGATATCTATGGTCCATTTGAACTTTAAATATATGCACCTATTACCCATCACACACAAAAAATCATGCACAAACACTCACACTCACAAAGCACCTCAGGGAGAAGAAAATATGTGGTACAATTAAGTGGTCAAGTATTCCAAAAGTTGCAGTAAGATATTTTAATTGACTTATATGTTCTATAGAAAATCAATTATCTGTATTTCTAAAGTAGATATAACACACAAAATGATACTGAATTATTCTGTGAGGTCATTGTATCATTCCAAAAAGGCTGACCTTCTATAGAGAAGCAATATAGTACCAAGCACTAAGAAAATGGAACTGCCATTCAGATTTGGTTTCTTATCAAAGCTCTGTCACAGCTTCACCTTGGGTAAACTGATGAACTAAGTTCTCTGTGATTTTTTAAGTTTTCTTCCAGATTTAAAGTGTTGGAATTCTATTTATCTGAGGGACTTATAAAAGTCCCTTATAAAAATTTTTATTAAAAAAAAAGGAGAAATGTGTGTTGGTCATGAGTTCCATTATGATAACTTTGGATGAAGCCACTGAGCAAACTGTTGATAATGGGGCATCCTGGCTTCCCTCCAAGGTCTCAATTTTAATTTAATGGCCCATCATCAACAGAACAGGTGTACCCTCAAACATTTGCCTTAAAAAATATATCATTTTGTTTTTCTTTTTAAAACTACTGAAATGTAAAGTGTCTACATGATGTTTCTTTAGTATTTTGATTCAATCCAGCAATTGTTTATTTTGTCCAATATGTTTTAAGTGATAATAAATAGATGTGCTTCCATATCTTTAATTATTTGAAGTATTTAAAGAATGAATATGTCCCTTCTTTGTCTGACCTCCTCCTCCCCCCTCAAAATGTGGCTACTCTGAATATATATTGCCTGGGTGCTTTAAAATTTGTAAAAAAAAAAAACCATTTTACATAAATTATCTCATTTAACTCTCAAAGCAGTAGTTCTGAAGTATATTCAGTACCAATTATAATAGTAGAGGAGAGGATAATTGATGATCTGAAATAGGATGGTGGTTATGTGAGCAGAGATGCAATGGATTGAAGAAATGGCATGGAGGGAGAAGCAACAAGACTTGGCAACTTATTTCTAGTAAGTCAAAGAGAAAAAGAAAAGTATAAATTGATTCAAAGGTTGTAAATTTATGTTATTGGAAGGATGATGTTTCCATCTCTTCCATATAAATAGAAATAGGCAAATTTGAAAGAATAAATAAGGATGTTGGAAAAGATAATTTTAAATTTTAAAATTCCAGGGAACTGAGCCTCAGGTAGGTCAAATGATTTGCCAATATTTTTATAACTGGTCAGTATTAGAAGTAGGATTAGACTTGTATTTACCTGATATGTACCTTATTTATTATTTTGGGCTACATCTGCTATGTGGCTTGTTTCTTAAACAAGTTTCCTTTCACTCCAGGAAACTTTCCTCTTATAGCATTAGCCTCAAAGTTCAATTACTTTTTTTATAATTGCTGTTTTATTTATTGTTTTTTTTAAAAAAAACCCAGGGTCACTATAGATGATACACTATATTCTAATTCAATTTTTGGATCATTAACATATTTTAGAAATGCTAAGCTGTTGAACCTCCACTTAACCTAAAATCAATGGCTTATACATCAAATCAGCTAATAGTCTCTTTGGCTCTTTGCTCTCAGTATATTTCTCTTTTCTTCTCCATGGCTTTCATCATGAGGCATTCTTCCTAAGTACAGAAAGCTCCTATCATAGAGGAGAACAGCCTAATCTACGATGGTGACACAGTTAATCATCTCTGACAATATTCATTTGGGCTTGAAGTGAAACATTTAGAGCCCAATAATGTTGGAAACTTGGAAACTACAAAGCTGTTAATATCCTGATATAGATGGATGGATGGACATTGGCCACAGATGGAGACATCCATTACCAACCCCCTCTGACATCCAGTATTGAGAATTTTTGAAATGAGACCAAACTTTAAGGTTTATGGGCCATTAAATAGCTGCCTTTTAAAGTCTGATTTGGAAAGGAGGGAAAAATTTGAAGAGCAAAGTAACTAAAAATCTTAAAGGGAAGTGTCCACATAGAGAGAAATACAGCATAGATAAAATACCATTATTAGAAATATAATGGCAACAGTATATTTGGGTAATAATGGAGTAAATCTTGTAAAACTATAAGAATATTAGACCACATTTTATACAAACTCCCAATTTAAGAAGAGGAAACTGAGGCCCAGAAAAAAGACTAGGATGTATTTTCTGATTCGCATGTTTTCTGACTCTTGGTCTAATGGTATGTGTGTGTGTGTGTGTGTGTGTGTGTGTGTGTGTGTGTACACATATGTAGGTGCATATGTATATGGGTATATATGTATGCATATACACATATACATATATATATATAGCTGCATGTGTATGTAAGTATATATGTGTGTATATATATATACATATATATATACACACATATATATGTGCATATGTATGTGGGTATATATGTATGAATGTATGTGTATGTAAATATACACACATATATGCATATATTGTATCAATGTGTAAAGTTATCTCCTTATTTTGGTCATTTCATTCTGTTCATGATGTTTTCCCAGGTTATTCTGAACTTCTCGATTTTCTTATTTCATATGGATATCAATATCTCATTACACTTACATGCCGTAATAAGTTTAGCCATTCTCCAGGAGATAAATACTACCTTAGTTTGTGGGGCCACTATGAAAATACTGTTATAACTATTTTTGTACCTAATTATGGTATTTCTTTGATCTCTTGTATATATAGGAAAATAGTGGTATGTGGCTAGGTCAGAGAAAACATACAGTTCATTTGTGGGGGGGGGCAACATTCACTATTATTGAAAGTTGATATATGCTGAAAATGGCAGCAGGGAATACTCCATCAAGGACATAGGACCCTAGTTGGTATCTAAAGGAAGGGGAAACAGGGCACTGTGAGTATCCCAGTCGTGTGGAACACTTTAATTTGTTAAAGCAGGGGTGACTAATGTAGGGTTTGTGACCTTATAAAAGTGATAACTATGTTGCAACATACTCAGTTCTATAATTTGGAGACAGTATTACTTATTACAGGCATTGTAATACCACCTTAAGTTTGAATCTGAGAATGTGTTCAAAAGCCAAAATGCAAAAATTTACCTCCCATTGTTGTGAAGATCAAAATGATTGAATCATTGTGAAGTGCTTAGCAAAGTGATTGGCATATGCTAAGTGCTATATAAATGTTGATTACAGTTATTATTATTTCTTTATTGGAATGTGATTACTCCATAGTTGTTAACTCAATACTGGAATTTAGTAGACTGTGAATTGAGCTATTAAAAGAATATGATGAAAATAGATATTTGAAAACATCAGTGTCTAATGGGATACATTTTGTTTCAAAACAAATGATAATAACAATAATAATCAGCTTATTACAATAAAGAGAATGTTCATTTGAAAAATTTGGGCTATTACATACAAATTGTGAAATTGTATAGGGTAGTGTAAATTTATAACTTCAATATGTTAACATGAGTCAAATAGCAGGAATTTGCTATATGTTTGAAAGACCAGATGGGGTTGGTTTAATTTATAAGCCAATGATAAATGAATTCTGTTAGAGATATATGAGAAAACTAATACCATTCAGGCCCTAAGTCGCAGTTAATGAAATTTTGCTATTTGAGGTAAAAAGTCTTTGGGATTACAATTTACTATTATTTTGAGTTTTGAGTACAGGAGTGGTTTCAGAATTGTCATGAAGACAATAGTAGAATGATATGTTCTGCATTCTTAGAACTGTGAAAAGTAGATTCTGTGTCTAGGAAAGACATTATAGAACAACCTTGGCATGGCAAAAGGTAGTAGTCTCTTGACTTAGTTTCCTCATTATGTTATTTTTGTTCTGAGCAGAAGATTTCCCCACCTGGTCTATATTGAGCCTTGCTTTTGATACCATAGGACCGACTATATGATTAGCTGCAATATATGATTCATGCCTAGAATCATAGCTAAAGAAGTTTTTCCCTTGTTATGGTACATGTCAGGTTAGCTTGTGCCACTGAGAGGACATCTTGACACTATTATAACTATATTCCTCCTTTTCCTTTTGTAGCAAATTTCTATAATCAGGGCAGGTGAGTAACAGAAGTTTTATAAATACAGTACTATATTTATTACTTAATAGGTTGATACTGAAAAATCTCTGAATTATTATAATAAAATGCAAATATGAAAAATCTTATAATTTAACCTGGATTTGTAGTCAAATTGTAATATTGGGATGTTATGCTCCTAAGGAGGAATTTGATAATGTAATAAGATAAAGATTCAATGTAAAAGTTTTCTAATTAAATGTAACAGAAAATTTTGAGAAAACAATGGGTTTAGACTGCTTTCTATAAGATCTATTTGCATATGCCTATGATTACCTTCCCAATGCATCTAGTATGGAAATTCAGGCTTTTAGTATGTTTTAGTAATATATTCTCAAAATCAGATTAAGGATTTTGCATATAAACTTGTATTGATATCTATAAAGAAATGAAATTGCTTCTGCATTTTGAATTTTGGTGCACTAATTTTAGAGATTGTATTTTACAAGTTAGACCTCCTATGATTTCAAAATACTTATTTATGTCGGCCTCTCCCCAGGAAGCTTTTTACTTGGCAGCTGCTATGGGTTCTAGGAGCTGCAAGTGGCAATGTCACTTCCCTCCCAGCAGTAGCCACAATGTAGTTTATGTTGCTTTTTATTCATCAGAGAAAACATTGACTTCATAAGTGGCATGTCCAATAGTATTGGACAAAAAAAGTAAAAAAAAACACAAAAGAACTTATTCAAACATTTTTTATCCCATAAATCCAAAATGCGCAACATTTTGGAATGGTAAGATTTGAAGATTGTCTACAAAAGATATGCTAGTCTGTATTTTGGCTGTGCTGTTGAAAATCAGGACAATGAATTAATTATCCTGGAAGTAATTTATTATTTTGTTGAATCATTTCACAGATATTTTGGCAGTGTGTGTGTGAACTTGATATCATCTTTAATTTTGAGAATGTTCAGGAAACATCCAAGAAAAATGTGCTTAAAGCCATTGAACAGGCAGATCTGCTTTAAGAGGAAGGTGAACCCCATGTAGTGTTCTTAAAGAAATTGAACTGACAAGCCATTTCCCATGTTGATGATATCATGTGGTCTCACATACTGTAGATGTTTGCTGCCTTCATGACAATGTTTAGCAGATGGTATAAAATTCTGTTTGTCAGTGTTACTGTTTTGCTAAGCAGCTTCTTTCAGGCCTACATAAAAACACTCCACTTTTTCAAAAGGGAATACAAAGTACTAGTTGTTTGTTTGTTTTTTTAAGGGATTTAAAAGGTAACTAAAGCTTCATTGAGAAAAAAGATGTTGTCAGTATACTTGAAGGGTGAATTATGTCAGTTTCCCATTAATTTTACTTGTATGTAATTATTATTAATATATGCATGAAATCACAAGCAAGAAGCGTATTTGTTACTCTCACTGCATTGAATTGAAAGGAAGCTACATTTATATCAATTTAAAAGTAAGCTTAATAATGTTTCAATATAGTTTTAAGTAACCAAAGACTACTGCTACATTTCAGTATTTATGGGAATGAGAAAAATTAACTGATTTGACATATCAAAATGATTTAAATTTTAACATTACCACGTAAATTTAAACATACATATATATTCAAAAGATAAGTATTGGGAACTACATATCTTAAACTGGTAGCTTATTGAAAAATGTATATTTATGACACTAAAAGGATATTACATTAAAGGGAATTGCTTTAATCAGAACAATCTTATTTTACATTGACCATTAACTGAAGGCAGGAATTTGGACTGAAGACACTATACTCCAAGATGATGACATAATGCACACTGTGAAAATGGTTACACATTATTTTCTAGGTAAGATTCCTTTAACCATAATTTTACAAATGAAATGGATTATGTTGATGTCCCAGATATGTTATACGGCCACTATTTACTTCACTTCTCCATGAGCTAAGGAAAACACCTACTTAAATAGGATGTTACAAATTAAAATATTGAGTTGCCTAGTATTATTGCCATCTCAACACAAACTTGGCTGCAATCACAAAGTATCATGTGGCTAAGTTTTGCTCCATGGTTGGCATTATTGTGATTAACTAAATTTTCCCTATATATATATATATATATTTTTATGAAGTAACACTAGTTTATCCTTTCAAGCTACCTCCTGGTCAGAAAATATTCATTATGTGTGTGTGTGTGTGTACATATGTGTATGTACATGTGTGTATATCTTTCATGTAAAAATTTTAGATGGATGAGGTAAAATGGCAATAGGGTGATTTATTTTTTAAAGTTGTTACAATTCAGTTACAATACCATTTTCATATATATATATATATATATATATATATATATATATATATATATATATATATATATATTTCAACATGCCTTCAAGGTTTACACTTTCATTTAGTTGTATGTGCTTGGCTGGATTAAGCTTTGTGATTGTGACCAAAATTTAGGCTGTGAACATTGTCTTATCACATACATTAGTTATAATAAATGTCCACTCTTAAATGAAAAAAAAAGATTTTTATATCAGATATAAGGTTTAGATAAAGATAGAAACAGCAAGTGGCATATAAAAAACTGAAATTCTCTCAAGTTTCAGGATTGGAGAATAAAATTTAAGAGACTGCACTAAATTTTATTAAGTATCATTACTAGCAAACATCATCACTATTGTTATCTAGGAACTTTTCTACAAATGATTTGGAATCAGAGAAACAAAGGCCAATTCAGAACTGTCTTGAGAGTGAAGCCTATTCCACAATGTACAAAAGAAGCTATCCAGGGGCAAGACAACTACATGAAACAACTGAGACTCAAGACGAAATGATTAAATGGACATTGTAAGTAGGTTACTATGATACAAGGAGACAATATTAATTATTTTGATGATCGTTATTGTATTGATTTTCTTTTTTATTTCATGGTGTTTACATTTATGTTTTCTTGGTTTTCTTCAAGATATATAAATGCCCATTCTCAAAATTAGTACATTGTAAGATAAGTAGTTTGATCTGTAACCTAATGTGTAATTCTGATTATGAATATATGAAAACCATTATAGATATGGCTTTATATATATGTGATCCATGAGGTGGTAAGCTGCCCACTCCCCATTGAATCAAAAAGGGAAAATTGGGGGAGTTGAGAAAATTGAGGAAATTTTGGAGATGAGGACAACAAGTGGTTAATTGTGGAAATCGAATGAACTATATTGATTCCATGTTATGACTCAATTCTGGAAATAGCTCAGTTCACTTTCTATTTAGTTATGGGTATAGACCCACTTTTGTCCTATGATAAAATTCTATTCAGTTGTTGGAATAGAGAGAAAACTGTTGTATTGTTTAAACCTATCACTGTATGGTTGGGAATCTGGACAACCTTGCTGCCTAGAGACTTTTAACTAAGAATTTATTCTATGATGACCAGAATCTAATCAGATCCAAAGACAGATGCAAGATTTTGTACAATTATGTATCTAAAACAACTTATATGTTTTATCTGAAAACTGACCCAATATTGATCAATCAGTGAGTGTTTCTATGTCCCTTTTACTGTTTACAGACCCCTGGGAGAAGTAGAAAGCTTTTTCTTCTAAATTTATGGAATTTTACCTCTTTTCTCTCCCCTCCCAACTTGAAAAGTCCCTAATCTATCATCCCATTGGAAATCAGATTACCTAATGTTGTACTGTGTCCTTTTAATTAATTGACCTTATTAGATCAATTGTTTGTTATGTATAAAAGTCTGTCTCACTTTGTATTCAAGGTTTATGTCCAACCTAAGGAAGACTGGTCCCAATTTGTTTGGCAATTGCCATACATTACTTCTTAAATAAATATGCTTAGAAGCTCAAACTTTTGTTTCTTCAGTCATTTCATCTTTCATCCACCACGATGATAAGTCAGCAAGAAGAAAAAAAGAAGAGTGAGAAAAATTTAGTAAGCTGTCAAGTTATAGAGAGAGCCCATGGCCAAAGAAGAATAGGTTTTCCTTTAGAATGTTCTTCATCCTAGTGATGGATTCCAAGTAGAGAGAAACAATTTTCTTATTCCCCAATTGACCACTTCATCCAAAACTGAAACACAGACCCCTCTGGCATGAAACGGAACTGGTGGCAGAGCAGCATCAAATGTCAGTAAATTTTATCCCATAGAATCATACAATGTCAGAGATTGAAGGACACTCAGAGGCCATTGAATCCTGCCTCCATGATTTTATGATGAAAGACTTAGAGGGAAATATCAACTATTTTCAAATATTTAAAGGTATACTGTATGGAAGAGGAATTGGATTCATTCTACTTAGCTCAAAAGGCAAAACCAAGATTGATAGAAAGAAGTTGCAGAGAATCAGCTTTCAGTCCATATCTATGTCTACCTATCTATCCATCAATCTATCTCTCTATATGCAAGCATCTATTCATCTATCTATTCATCACCAAGTAATTATTCATTACAGAAATTGGATTAGATTTCATACTCACAGAGTATCAGTACACTAAGTTGCCTCTGTTCATCTGACTGGAAGACTGAAGGCAGAATAAGGAAAAAAAAATTCCTCCTCAATGCCCCATTTGAAAGGGTCCAAGAAGCCTAGCCAACTCTTCATTTTGCACCAGCTGCACCTCCTGGATTTGACTCCAACATTATCTTGCTAATGTCCCCTTTCCCATTTTTAGATTCCTTTTGTGTTATGTGTTGCCCTTCCTAATTAGACTGTTAGCTCCTCAAGAGAACACACTCAGCCACCCCATTATTTGTATCCCCAGAACTTAGTACAGCGCCTGGCATATGGTAGGTACTTAATAAATGTACAATTTATTGTATAGGATGGTCTAATATGGAATAGTATGATGTTTTATGGTATTGTATAATATGGTGTGGTATGGCATGTTAAAACATTGTATGACATGGCATTTTGTTACTTTGTCTGGTATTGTATCAATCAACCAACATGTATTTATTAAGTGCCATTTGTCAAGTGCTGTACTAACCACTAATAATACAAAAAGTGGCAAAAGATAGTCCCTGCCACAAGGAAGATTAAAATTTGATGGGAGTGACAACATGCAATCAAATATATACAAAGCAAGCTATACAAAGGATAAACAGAAAACAAAGGTAAAGCAGTGGAATTAAGAGGTATTAGAGAAGGCTTCCTGTAGAAAAAACGATTTTAGTTGGGACTTAAAGGAATAGGCACCCTCCTGCCCTGGTAAGCAGTCCATGTGGAAGAAGGAAAGCAATGAAGTCATAGGGAAGTGACAAAAAAAAAAAGTAAAGCCAAGAGATGTAGAGTCTTCTTCCTGGAACAATGAAGATGCTAATGTCACAGAATTGAAGAGTGCATGTTGAGGAATAAAATGTAAAAGGAATTGAAAAGGTACAAGAGGGTCAGGTTATGAAACGATTAGAATGCCAAACAGAACATTTCATATTTGCCCCTGGAGGTAATAGGAAGTCAATGGAGTTTATTGATTAGAGGGGTAACATAATCAGACCTGCATTTTTGGAAAATTAGCTTAGTAGGTGAATGTAGGAAAGATTGGAGTGAGGACAAATTTGAAGTAGGCAGACCCACAACTATGTTATTATTATCTATAATCAAGGTATAAGGTGATACTGTCTGGTACCAGAGTGATGGCAGTGTCAGAGGAGAGAACAGAGAAGGAGACATATTTGAGAGATGCTGCAAATATGAAATTGAGAGACCTTAGCAACAGATTGGATATAGGGAGTAAGAGACAGAAAAGATTTCCAGATAACCTGTGCTATAAAGTATTGTACTATATTTTACCATATTGTACTATATTGCTTTGTATTGTACTGCATTATATTATAATGGGGAGAGTGCTAACCATGGAGTCTAGAAGGGAGATAAAGCAGAGGGGAATATCCATGTATAGAGCACCTTCTATGTACCAGGCACTGTACTAAGCATTTTACAAATATTTCATTTAATCCATACAATAGCCCTAGGAGGTAAGTAGTATTGTTATTCCCATCATACATTTGAGGAAACTGAGATTTAAAAAAAAAAGGTTAAAGATTAGACGTTTGATCTTTTTAGGAAAGATTTAAACTCAGGTTTGTTTGTATGTTTGTTTTTTTCAGCTTAGCTATTATATAATGCCTGACTCTCCTTCAGATTCTGAAATGGTACATGAAAATCATGCAACATGGTACAACTACATGAAAATAGAGAGTCTCTGGACTTGGATTGAAACAAGGTATCACTAAGGTGACACTAAGTCCTACACTTTGTCCACTGTATGACACTGCAATTAAAATGGTCATTTAAATTTATTTAAGAAGACGGATTTAAATAATTAGAGAAATATTAATTGTTCATGGGTAGGCAGAACCAATATAATAAAAATGACAATTTTTAGCAAAACTAATCTATTTATTAAATGCCATCCAAATTAAATTACCAAAGAAAAATATTTTACTGAACAACAAAACAAAAGAAAATTAATTTGGAAGAGTGAAAAATCATTAATGGCAGAGGAATTAATGGCAAAATGTAAAGGAAGGAGGTTTAGCAGTACCAGACCTTAAACTATATTATAAGGCAATAATTATCAAAACTGGCTGGTACTAGCTAAGAAATAGAAAAGTAGATCAGTGGAACAGAGTAGAAATAAAATACACAGTAGTAAATGATTATAGTAATTTTGTGTTTGAGAAATGTAAAGATTTAAGCTTTTGAGATGAGAATTATTTGGTAAAAATTGTTGGGAAATTAAGCATAGATCATTATCTTACACCATTTACCAAGCTAAGGTCAAAATGGATGCATGAAACAGAAAGAATTGATAAATAGAAATGTGTATAGCATGGTTATACGTACATATATACACACACACAAATATATGTGTGTGTGTGTGTATGAGTGTGTTTATATCTATCTGTATTACATATGTATGTATTTATATGTGTGTGTGTGTGTGTATATATATGTGTGTGTATATATATACATATATGTGTGTGTTTTTTGTGTGTGTAATGGTATCCTTCTTTAGGACAGGGTGGGGCAGGAAAGAGAAAAAAATTAAAAGTACACAGTAGAGAACAGAAAACAGAAGAAAACTTAGAAGAAACAAAAGAAAAGCAGGGCAGCTAAGAAAATGATGTGTAGTATTTATTACATAATAATTACAAAAACAGTAAACAATGTGAAATATTTATTTAATGCTTTATATTGAATCCTCTTATGTTCTCAGGCTGGGTACATGGAAATATACTTATTTTTATCTTTTTTTCTATTTAAGTTCAAAATAAATAAAAATTAAAAAGAAAGAAAAAAAGAAGCATGAGTGAGAAAAATAGTGCTTTATTCTTCAAAACATTCTATGAGAAGCATAATTCTTATGTAATCACTAATCAAAATGAGAAGATTCTTACCAAAAACCATTTAGTAATTAGTCTTGTTTCTAATACTCATATTGTATTCAAGACTTAACCATGAGGATTGAGCTATACATTCTTAATGTATTAATTTTTTTTCAAATCTCAACTATTTTGAAGAGAGCTATCATGAAATCCTTAATAAATTCCTCCTCTTATTCCTCATCATGGTATGGAGGCAATACCAGACTTAATGAGATAACACATACCAAGCTCTTTGCTACCACTGCTGCTGTTACTACTCGTGATCTTACTCCTACTCCTACTCCTAGTAAAGAATCAAATAGAAGAGAGCATTACCTATTGGGTACTACAAAACTGGAAAGGTTTAAAACATGTGCCCAAAGAAAGGTAGTTAAGGGAGCCTAATATATCACCATAAGGCTGTCCATCATAAGAT